AATCCCAATTTAAAAAAATATTTGTTTAAATTAAAAAAAATAATTACTAATTTTTTAAAGCTTAAAACTTAAATTTTTTTTGCCACAGTCTTAAAAAAGGTTTAAAAATTATGAGTTATTATTTCTTTTAAATTCTATTTTGATTCAAAATAAAAGTTAAGTTTTCAGTAAATAAAATCTTATTTTGATTTTCGGTTTGAAAAAAAAAAATAAATTTTTGATACCAAAAATTATAATTAGAAATTGAATATTTAATTTTTAATCCAATGACTAGTAAATTAGTGTCTATAAGAAGTTCTTCGCGCCAAGCATATGAATAAAAAAAGGTAGTCAAAAAAAAAAAAATAAACCGTTCACAAATCAATTTGTAACAAGAGAAAGAAGCACAGCAGTGACGAATTAAGAAAAGTGCATTCCTCGACTTTGTATTGTTAAACAACATAAAAGAAAAAGTCTGTCAGTAGGTACAAGCAGTATCGAAACGCTTGAAAATAAATAGTAATGGACAAGCGCTTGCTCACAAGACAACATAATTGCATATAGTCACACATATACACATATACATTTCTAAAATCTTTGTATGTATGTGTCGTGGAACTTTCATTTGTAGGAATTTTTTAATTCCCTTCGAATGCTGCAAGTATTTTACAGCTCAATGTTGCTACTGACAAATTGATCGCTGCTGACAACGCGGCTGAGCTCCAGCATGCCACAACCAAAGCAAGGCTTCTTAATCTTGAAACTTTTAAATGCAGAGTAATTGAGGTCACCTGTCAATATGTTTGGTATTTTTTCAAATCACAACATCAAAAAGTTAATACGGTAAATAGCATACCCTATTCAATGGAACATGTTTTTCTTACAAGAACTTGTTTTTAATAGTTGAGTTTGTATGGGAGCTTTATGCTATTGCAGACCGATCTGGCAAATTTACTCAGATATTGTACCGTTTTTTTAGGCAATAATCTATGTTAGATTTCATACCGATATCAACTAAAATAAACGAGTTTTTATATCAGTGCTTCATTTTAAACTTTCAGCTTGTATGACTGCTATATGCTATACTCAACCGATCTAGATAAAAATTTCCATAACTGCAGTATTACCTTGGATAGTAATCCATGTCACATTTCCTGAAGCTATCTTATCAGTTAAAAATGTTTTTTATATAAAAACTTGTTTTCGAACATTCAGCTTGTATGGCAGTTGTGTGCTATAGTTGTTCGATCTGAACAATTTCTTCAAATATTGTAGCATTGCTTTGAGAAATACTGTATGCCAAATTTGATGACGTTACCTCGTCAAATAAAAAAGTTTTTCATATATGTAGAGTATTTCGATCGTTCAGTTCGTATGCCAACTGACGCATACATATAAATATGTAGGTGTAATGCTTGCAACAAATAAGCCCTTCTAACATATGGGAATATTCTTTCAGCCAAGAGTTGAGTAACATACGATTATCTATATATGTATATATTTACTTGACGATGACCCACAAATCGACCAAGTCTGCTATCAAGTACCCCTAGCAGTCCGTCAAACAGTTCCTCAAATGAAAAGTAAACAAACTGAACAAAAAAGGTTGTAATGGCTGCCAGACACATTTAGTTCAATTTACTTGTAATTTCTGCTGCATAATAATGATGATGATGACGAACTTTGTAGCACGAAGGCGACCGAAAAAGGCGTTGCATTGAACTTGACGCGCGCGCGTCAGTCAATGTTAGACGCGCAAAAGGCGGACGCCCAAACATGTTGTAAGCTTATTGTGTATGTTGGTCGACAACAGCAACAACAACAAGCATAACAGCGGCGCGATGAAGTGACAGCTAGAAAAAGCGCTGTGCATGAAGAAGAAATGAAACAAAACAAAGTGGAATGGAACGGCATGGTGTGGCGCAACAACCAGCTGTGGGTAGGTGAACCGCGAAAAAACCAAAACCGGAAAATCGCTGCAATGCATTTTCCGCTACGCCGCCGAAAAGTGGCAGCCAGCAACAAAAGGAAGCGAAGATGGCATACCAACAAACAAGAACAGCTGGACACACAAACATAGGTAGCCACATGGTCAATCCCGCATACACATAAATTGCCATAAATTGCAAATATATGCAAACAGCGCGCTTTGATGTTGTTATTTTTGTTATCGCGTTGGCATGTTGCTTGCAGTGTTGGCGCACCGCGTTGCTGCGTCACTGCGTGGCACGCCAATGCGGTGGCGGAAATTAATGTAATTGCACAGCAAGTGAGTCAAAGTGCAATACGCGCGCGCGTCGCTTTGGGAATTGCCGGTAGTTGCAGTTATTATTATTATTATTGCTGTGGTTGTTGTTGTACTTATGATTGCTAGTTGTTTGCTTAAACGGTTTGGCGCACTGCTATGGCACGTTTGCGCGTTGTGTGTGTGTGCAAATGTACAGTTGGCGTGGCGTGCCGTTGCCTGATGTCCCGAACTTTGCGCTGTTGCAGCGCATAACGGTCGCTTTGTTTGCTGCGGCAAGCGAACAATCGGAAAAGCCACCCAGCCAGTTAGGTAGTCAATCTAGTTTGGCTGCCGGCTGCTTTTGGGCTGATGTCATGTTGACAGTTTGACTTCCCACAATTTCGGCCAACAATTTTTTGTTGTTGTGTTTGTTGTAACTGCATAATCGTTGAAAGCGCAACTATTGCTTGCAGCAAAAGCATTGTTGTTGGTTCAGTGGGGGTTGGTTTTACTTATCTGGAGTTGTTTTAGATGTTATTGTTGTCATCGAAATTATCGTTGTTGTTATTATTATTATTGTTGTTGTTATTATTTTTGTTTTAGTTGTTGAAAATGATTCTGCTTATCTGTAGCTATAATACTTGTTGTTGTGTTTCTAGTTGTTGTTATTATTATTGTCGCTGTTGCCAACTGTTTTGTTTTTTTGCTTACATGCAGTTGCAGTTGTTGAAGTAGTTGTAATTATTATTATTGTTGTCGTTTTGTTATTGTTGTTTTTATCATTGTTGTTGCTGCGTTTCTCCAGCGCACGCTTGTCGGTTTTCCATACTTTTCTATTTTTATATTCAGTTTCTGGTTGCCGAGTTTTGTTGTTGTTGCTGTTGTGGTTGTTGCTGGCTGTTGTCGCTAACCGCTGTTTTACTTTCACTTTTCATTCGTTGCATTTAACACATTTGAAATGGCACATTAACAGAGGAGTTGCCACGTTTTCCAGTTGGATGGTGAGCACAAGCGCACGCTTCAGGCCACTCCGCACCCACACAACTACATACACAAATATATTGTATCGTTGAGTGCTTGTACTATGTGCATGTACACACGTAGCCGCTGTCAACATACGCTTTTCTTGCCGCATTACGACTTTTGTATGTGCGTCCGCGCTTTGATTTATAATTGCTCCCCTGACAGCTATTTTTGCAGCGATTTTAAAGCGAGCAACGAATAATTGCATTTTTATACCCTGTACAAGGCATATTGAGTTTGGCATGAACTATGTAGTCACTGATTTTTTGAGATATCGCTCTGCAATTTTGCAGATGTCCGTTTCTTTCTAAAAAAACTGGTCATTTGTAAAAATCGACAATATCGGACCACTATAGCACAGAGCTGCTAGACAAACTGAATGGTCAAAATCAATTCCTTGTGTGGAAAACTTTTTTATTTGTAAAGATATCTGCACGAAATTTTGCATGGATTATTTGCGTGGCAAGTGGTATAACCTCTATAAAAATTGTATAGATCGAACTACTACTGCATATAGCCGCCATACAAAATGAATGATCAAAATACAACCCTTGTATGGTAAACCTTTTTATTTAACAAGATATCTTCACGAAATTTAGCATGATGCATTGTTTAAGGCTACTCCACAATATTTGAAGAAATTTCCTAGAACGGATCACTATAGCATATAGCTGCATACATACAAGCAGAACGTTTAAATACAGGTATGGAAAACTTTTTTATTTGTAGAGGTATCCGCACGAAATAAGGCTTGAATTATTTTCCAAGCCAAGAAACATTCTCCGAAGAAAAAGTGCAGATCGGATCAATATAGCATATAGCTGTCGTACTAACTAACCAAGCAAAATCAGGAAATGGATCACCCTTTAGCTTCGAATGGTAAAAATAAGAGTTCTACTGGTTAATATTCATCTGTTAATATGATGTGATTATTAGATTCCAACACCTTTGTTTTTGTTTTGCGCTTTGTGAGAGAAACTTGGCAATTCCTTCTTCATGATAAAATTGTATGTGCAAAAAATTTGAAAATCCTAACCCATATGTTAGGTTGTCAAAAAAGTATTGCGGTATTTATGTGGTATTTTTATTGAATTTTCAATTGTTCATAAAGTTTTTTTTGATAAGTCATGCCCAGCTCTTGACCGATGCTTCGGCTGCTGCCATGCCGATCTCTTTCGACCAATTCAGCGATTTTATCGCAATTTCCGACGACAGGCCTTCCGGAGCGTGGCACATCTTCTTTACACCAAAACGAAAACGTTGAAACCATCGCTGTGTGGTGGAAATGGAAACTGTATCGGGTCCATAAACTGCACAAATTTTATTGGCGGCTTGAGATGCATTTTTGCCTTTATCGTAGTAGTACTGTAAAATATGCCGCATTTTCTCTTTATTTTGCTCCATGTTTGCGACGCTATAACTCACGAATGACTTAAAAGAAACGACAATCAATCAAACATGTGTTAGTGCGTGAAATGAGCTTTCCAAAAAGGTATAGCATGACCCAATGCGACGAATAAAACTAGAACTACGCGCTCTCAGCGCCAACTAGCGAAAATACCGCAAGACTTTTTTGACAACCTAATATAATAATCACTGCACTGGCTGCCCAAAGGCCAGCTTCAAAATCGTCTAGTCGTTTGAACGTAATTTAATTGAACTCTAATTAAATTTGGCATTAAATGCAATTTTTTCAAGCAATTAGTCTTATCACACTTGACTTTATTTAATCTCGCAATAAACTGATTTCGACTTCTTCTTCCAATTGCAGCACTCCACATTACTTTTAAACACACACACTGTGAGAGACACCTGTAGAGCAACGATATGGACTCTTACTTAACAGAAATCAAACAATTGCGGATACCGCGCCCGAAATTTGAACCCAACGGCAGTCCGCCAAACAACTGGCACCGAATGGTGCGGCCATATACGCCGCCGCGCGACTATCACTTGCCAACCAATGAGATAATCACCACCGCAAGCGCATTGCATCCGAATCGGAGTTACCAGGGTGGCGCGGAGGAGTTCCGACCAACGTTGCACGAGAAAATGTAAGCGGCTTTGCACAGCGCGCCGCACCAGCGCTGCTAACGACGGCCATTACAACCATACGCAAGCTTAGTGCCGCAATCTTGATGCTTTCCATTGGTGTAATTAATGAAATCCATTTGGTGAATGGCAAGGGTGTCAAGTGTCAGTGTAGAAAAGAAAGAAAAGGTTGAAGTAAACGTAGTTGGTAAGCGGTAGCAGCGCAGGGCATGTGCGGCTGAGTGCAGTGAGCGATTCAAAGTGATGAGGATAATGAGCAGAATTAATTTTACGCACGCTATTATTACGCTATATATATTAATATATATCTATTTACGAAATACATACATATATGTTAGCTTACATATATATATGCATATATTACAAACGAACTAGGACCCTATGTCTTTAATGTAGTTTAAGCAGTTAAGTGAATTTAAGGATTTCACCAACAGCTGGTGAACACAATATTTTTGATTTGTATATTTACGGTAATTTGTGAATATTGACGCAATAAAATTGTTGATTTTATTTGTAAAGAAAACTGGTGTGGTTTACTTAAAGAAATAGAAAGCCAAATGAGGTAAGAATCCATACTAAATTTCGTGAAGATATCTCGTCAAATAAAAGCATTTTCCATATAAAAGCTTGAGTTCGATCGTGGAGTTGGTTGGTTAGCTATATGCCTCAGGGATCCGATTTGAACAGAATCTTCATCGATTGCATCACTGCTATAGTCAGTAAGCCATGCCAAATATGTTGTAAAGGGTTTTTCCAAATCGACTCTACAAAACTAGACCGATAGGGACAGCAAACGACGCCATATTTTTTCTAGCTTTTTTAACATTTCTCAGTAAGGTTCGCCATTTCATCATGGAAAGATATACGAGCCAATAACGAGTCGGAATTATTAAGGTTTACTACCGAAATGAGGAGTCAGTGGCCTCAACTTTAAAAACGCTATGTTCAATTTATGGTCGTCATAATCGTCCTGTCAGACCAACAATCGAGCGTCTAGTGGAAAAACTTAAATCCATAGGCACAGTACAAAATGTTCTCGCGTCGTTTCTCACACATCGTTCTCAGGCGTTGGGCATCTCTTTGATGGCGTTTCGATTATAATACTTCAAGAATAATCACAAATCTTAACACTCAGGCATTTAGATCATTAATATACTTAAAAAAAAAAAAAAATAGTTTTCACAAGGCAGAGTGCCATCATGTTTCTCATACAATAACATTTGCCAAAGTTTCTAACGTGCCCAAATTATATTATAACCACCCTAATGTGTCTATATTTCTATAATTGAGTGCTAAATGCTGCTAAAAGTTGTTGCGTATATGTGTGTGTAAGTATATTTTTCAATGTGTGTTATGTATGCACTTCGCTACTCACCGCATCTTGTTCGTATTCCGAGTGTGGTATTTGAGTTTCACTGCCTCTACGGGACCTATGGTCATCACAGCCGTATTCCTAGAGACACAAAAATAAGTAGATGATTGACAACGAAAAATATGTGTAATGCTCCGTTGAACAAGGGAGAAATTATATTATTTTTTATGATAACGAACAGTATTCGTGTTTGCAAACTAAAATCATAACAATAACACAAACATACACACCACGGATTTCGCAACTGCTGGCGCTGTGAACATTTTTTCTAGAATTCATTGTGAGTATTCATAAAAAGTTCTCAACACCAGACGTATTTAAGTTACAAATATACAAACATACATACATTTAAAATAATAGAATTTTTGCAAAATCAAAGAATACATCCAATACAGCAAAAATAAAATTGATTTATTTAGTAACGAATGCCATATTATTATTAATTTTTACTAGTTTTAAATACAAACACCCAGAAAACATTAAGAAAATAACTGACATTAACACACACACAAGTAAAAAAGTAGAAAAAAATGTATTTATAAACAAATACGCTACGTTTGCGAGCAAAATCGCTTGCAGAGTTCGTGGAGTAACATGAAAAAGTAGTTAAAGTAATTTTGTATAGTTTTGAGATTCTGCTGTCTTAATGGCAAATTTATTATATTTTCTTGCAACAAATTTTTAATTTTAAATAACAACAACAAAAAACGTTAATTTCGGTTGCACTGACGCTGTGATACCTAAATATTCCTTTCTTTTTGGTCAGTTTGTATGGCAGCTATTGCAGAAACGGAGTTGATTAAATCAACTCAACTCGTCACATTGTTTGTTTACATACATATTGTATTTTCCAATAGCGATTAATCTTCTTCTATACAGTTCTGCAGATGGTAGGCTGTGAATCCTGCCTTACAGCACGGACTTTGTGTACACTTTTGCTATTTTATGGTCGTAATAATCGTCCACCTGTGCTCGCTATTCGGCAAATTGTTGAAAATTTCGAAAATACATTTTCTTAGCATAATTTTCAAATGCCAATAAGACAAGGAACCACTGGAAGTAATGAAAATATTGCTGCCGTTCAGACAAGTGTTGCTGAAGACCGCAATTTGTCGATTCCAAGACGTTCTTAAGCATATGGACTCTCTAAAACCACAACCGCGGGGATTTTGAGAAAGAATTTGAGATGCATCCGACAAAAAGTTCTCACTCACGCACTCAAGCTATTGGACTACCCTAAGCATCGTGAGCTTGCTGAGTTTGCCTTGGAATCATTTGAAAACGATAATGATTTTTTCAAAGCTTCTTCGATAACACTAACTTTCATCTGAGTGGTGCGTTAAATAAAATAAGTTGTCCATCCTGGTGCGAAGAAAATCCATAAATTACTTATGAACAACCATTACATTCAACTAAATTGACAGTTTACTGTGGTGTTTGTTCGGGTGGAATCATCGGTCTGCACTTCTATACTTCGTCACAGTTAATTGACAGCGGTATGTAGTTCATTCACAGCACATGCAACAACCAAATTATTGCAAGATAAGTTTGGCGATGCGATTTTTATAGAAATTGTAAAATTGTACGGTCTAAAAATAGTTGTGTTTTAACACCTTTAGTTTACTTCTTGTGAGGTTATTTGGAGCCATTGGTCTTTAGCAATAAACCAGACTCTGTAGCAAAACTGTAGTAGCGAATATTGAACGGTCTCTTGAAGCTTTAGAAGTCAGTAATGAACGTTATATAGTAATCAAGGCATACGATTAATAATTAATGTGTTTTTTTTTATAAGAAATCGTATCATTCTTTCTGCGAACGCCTGTATTTTATAGGAACTCCGATGTTTTCTACTGGCTGTTACAACCACACCTGGTTAGGCTATAAAAATATAAAGATAATGTTTAACATAACTGATTTTAGAAAAATTTTGGCGTGATCAAAAAATCTGTGTAACAACTCTTTTTATAGGTATTTTATTAGGTAGTTTAACAAATTTGTACTTAAACGCTCTTTCTTGTTATTACATGAAATTTTTTCATTAACAATACTTAAGTTCATTTAATTTTAATAATTTAATCTGCTCATAAACGTAGCGTCTAATTGTAAATAAAAAAAAAACTAAAAAATTAAATAAAAGACGAAAAAGGTGAATGATTTCCATAGTAAACATAACCTAAACACAGGAAATTTGTTTTCAATATGTGAGGCAGTTTTGCCTGCAATCGAATGTCAATTTTATCAAATTTAGCTTACACGTAGCTTAATACATATCTAAGTTGGGTTATTCTAATGAATATCTCTAACCATTTCCGATAAATCTGGCGGGTGTGTTTTAAAAAGTGACAGAGACGAAAATATATTCAGAGTGAGTGAGAATATCGCTGAAAGCAAAAGCTGTAAACGTGTGAAAGATAGATAGAGAGATGGTGAGTGTATGCACGCAAGTAAGGCGCGTGTGCTAAGGCTATGCACATAGTGATTCGCATACACCCTGCGAAATATTTTTAAAGGCAATAAGATTTTCTTTAATAAACTTATTTTCTTATTATTTTATTATTTATTTATTACGATTTTAGACGAAAATATATTGAATTTAGATTGTCTGGATGGAAACGACAAATATCTATAAGCTCTTCCAAGGAAATTTGAAAAAGACGAAACTTTGGAGGTAAGTCTCCTATGCAAGTCTCCTAGCAACCTGAAGAGTTACAAGAGCTGCTATTTCATCCAGAAAAAACAACGGTTTGTGGGCCGTTGGAAACATCGGCCCATATTTCAAAACGATGCCACTGAGAACAAAACCGTTAATAGCGAATGTTACCTCGCCAAATTAACCGTGATCTCGGCGACATTTGGTATCAACAAGTCGGCGTCATTTCTTACACATCGCATCAATCAAGGGATTTATAGAGCGAAAATTTCGCTGAGCATACAATTTCGGCTTTTGGGCTGGACATACGAGCCTTTGAAAATTGGACTCAATGGATGAATCATCTGTGGCCTGTGGTAGCTGTGGCCAACTTTTGAAGGATATAATCTTCAAAAAATAAAAACCAAAGAATCTTTTTTCGAATTATAATAAACAACCTCCATTAGAATGGGAGTTTCTGTATTTTTTTTTTTTTAAAAAGGTAGGGAACCTTGAAATGGATCAGCTTTCATATTTATGTATAAACTGCTTAGATTCCGGTCCTCTGATCGACGTTTTGCGCTTTAAGGTGATGATAAGTTGCAAGTTACAAGGGTATTAAATATTCGGTTTCTTCCGTTTCCTTTATGTAAATTGAGATATTTAAAAATAATATGTAATTGCTACAGTTTACAAAAATATAAGTATTTCGCACGGTGTATTAGAAAAAAGACAGGCAGATAACTTCAAGCAGTCACTATGCTATCAGCGCCACTATGCACTTAGCCTAAGCGTGTTGTTTGGCAGTTGAAAGCGTTTTAGTGTTGGTAATCCTTTGCGCCTCGCAGTGCATTAGAAAGAGACAGCAGTTAGTGTTTTGCATTGTAAAATATTTTCCTTTAACCTTTGCTTTACTACTTTTTTTTTCAAAAATTCTTATGCTTTGTTTTTGTTAATGGTTGATTTCAAATTTATGCTTCACCTGATGCTGATTGTCAGTTTTGTTGTCATTAACGCCCATGGCATATGTTTTACAGATTGATTGATTATTTGTTGCCAACGACGATGATGATGATGTGGTTGCATGCTGTGAATGTTGCTGTTTCTGTAGCTGCTGTTGCGCGCCGCCCGTTTTTGTATTGGCCGCAGCGGCGGCGGCCAAGCAACGCGCCTCCCGCTCCCTTTCGCGCTGCAACGCGGCAGCCGTGCCGCCCAGATGGCGCAACGATGAGTGATGATGTGGTGGTGGATGCGGATGTGGATATGACGCTGGATGATGGTAATTGTGGGATGAGCGATGCAAGACGGGACCGGCAGACATGGGGCGATAGGGCAATTGTTGCGCTGGCCTATTGGTTGTACATATGTATGTATGCATGTAGGTCAACGCATGGCAGTATATGCGAGGCGCGAGGCCAGCATACATGCGGTTGGCGCAAAATCAAAAAATTCAAAAGACGTGCAATTTTCAAGGTATACGCAAGCCAAAAGGATATGATGGAGAAAGAAATAGAGAGAATGGAATAGAAGTAAAAAAAAGATTGCATTTTGAAAAATATTTTTTTAAATTTTTTTTTGAGTTTTTTTTTTTGCTTTCTGTTTGCTTTAATTGCTGTACCGATTCTTCATGTCCGACACTGTCATGCCCAGCCCGGAGTCTGACGATGGACTGCGTCCGGTGGCCGCGCTTACTTCCAAGTCAACATCGGTTACCTGCAGATATTATAAGGCAATTCAAGTAGTGTATGTACAAAAAGCATATACGAAGCCGACCTAATTGCCCGCATACATAGAATATGTATGTATGTAAACTGTATATATAAATACCATTGTTTGTATGTACGTAGGTCTAGAATTTGCTTTAAAATTTACAAAATTTTTTGGTTAAATTTAATTTGTGGCATAGCTTGCAGCAAAAAAATCGCTACAGAAAGTAGGCGAATGTGCAGTGGAAAGAGGACAGTACAGAGAGCGTGTAAGTATGCTTGTATGTATTGCGTTGGTTATTTATGGTGATGGTGGTGGCACTAAATACAATTTGATTATTACAGCAAACATAATGTGGCCGGTGCATTTGGTTGACGGGGGTGGGTACTCAAGTTTTGGGGAGGTTGTTGTAGGCAAAAATTGCCTATACTGGATTATGATTTTCAGGTGAATGGTTGGTGAATAGCTGTTGGTGCAGTTGGTTATGGATTTTTATTTGCCAATTTGCAGACATTTGCTTTGGTGACTTAAATTTTGCATTGGTGTGTGCATAAACTATGAGTAATTGCAGTGACATTATTTTACATGAGTGATGATAAATTTAAATTGTGACTTTTTGTTATTAGTTTTGACATATTTTAGTATTTCTCCAAATAATACTTAAACATATAAACGTCTAATGATTTTATATTAATTTTGGATGCGACCCACGAACTATGTTCAACGCATAACGAAAATTTTCGTTTTTCAAAAAAAAAAAAGACTTCCAATCGTCCAATTTTATATGATTTTTAACTTTCTCAGCGATTTTCGATTTTCTATCTCATAAAATGATGACCCTAAGAGGTTATCTTTATTTTTGGAAATAGGTAAACATTATATGGAAGTATTTTTGAAGAAGCAATGAGTTTTTAACAAGCAAAAATTTGCCAAGCTTAGGAGGGTATTGAACCAATTTTACACATTTTGGCACAAAAGCATGTCATCACAAAAAAATCGTCGAATTTTATTACTAGAACTCATAGATTGACCGATTTGTACGGTAAAAATGAACCTAGACTTGTACCTTGATTTCGACATTTTTTGTGTGTAATATTAATTACTTTAAGGACACTACTTGAGCACAGTATTTCCCCTTATATGTTCATTGCTGCTTGATTAGTATACTGGAAGGAAAATAATCAGGTATGATTTTAACCATTTTTGCAGTGTATAATAAGACTGGTTAGGTGTCCTATAACACCAAATTTGCTTGAAATCGGACGAACGGTTATTAATATATAAAGCTTCACCTAAAATTGGACGGTTACACCTGCTACTGTTGAATCCATATTGGTTGTAAAATTTAATGCTGATGATTCTATTACTCAGTGAGTTATCGCTTTTTAAGTAGCTTTCAACATAACCGTTATTTGAGGAGTGAGCGGGGTTATTATGTCATTTTACCCATTTTCACAGTGCAAGCAGAAATGCTAAGATTCCATGCGGTTGTTATACAACTTTAGATGTTGATGAAACAAGAAGCAAGTGATAGCCGCTTTAAAAAAAAAATTGGATAAACATCGAGCCAAATTTGCGAGTACAAGGGTTAAGGCAAAGTTATCCTAACAGCGTCTACACATTTGTCAAATGTCGTGCATAAACTTTTAAGTGCATTTTGATCCCGCTTTCTTAAAAAGTAGGTGAGTTTCAAATGGCGAAAAACGTTCGAGCATTAGTAGCAGTAGGGTGATATTGCGATGCGCTTAGATTGAAAATACGAAAAAGATGAAATGTTTTGGTCAAAAAGTATTAAAAAGTGCTTTCCTTATAACCGAGGTCTTTTGGTTTTCGTAATTTTTCACTTCAATTTTTATTTTAGCAAAAGTATATACTCGTATTCTGTGGAAACAAGAAATTTTTAATTCCTTAAAATCAAAAATTGACATTCGAACATTGAAATATGCCCTGACTGTGATACATTTTCAAAAATTTCGCTTACTTTTGCAGCGATTTAGTATTGATGTGGAAACTTGAATATCGTTTGTTGTTTTAGATATGTGGTTTTCAAGAAGCAATAACTTTCACGGAGTTGGTCTTTTAATAGCTGTTTTATGATATATGTATACTTTGATTGGTTAGCCTATTTATGATGAATATACTTGCTCCGGAAAAAAGTTTGCAAAGGGTGAAAAGTTATTACCAAAATAATGGTTCGATTCGCCCGTCCAATATTCGGGCGACAAAATCACAATAAAGTCAGTCATTCAGTAGCCAAGTTAACTCTAGTGGATATTCTATATTCTAAGGGATGTAGGGTAGAGTATTGAAAAGAAACCGAATGAGTTCATTCGCCAGCGCGTACAAAATTTTCAGCTTTGACTATCTACTTTATTTAGGGCTCTAAAAAGCTTCCAACATTTTTTATCTAAAGTCGGGCTAAGTAGGCCTTTAGTAGGCTCATTGTGAAACCAGCGGTACTAAACTCCCTCACTCTATTGTCTTGTCTCTGAATCAACCGTGTTTCTCTTTAAGTTCATATGTACAAAAAGTTATATCCACCTAGACTAAGCTATATACAACCTAACAGTCGATCCAAGTAGAGATACTTGTCGCAGCAACTTGGACTGACGTGTGGAACGATTTTTACATCGAGATCTTAAATTGAAAGCATACGAAATACATCCTATGCAAGAATTGAAGAACTAAACCTTCCCAAGCGACATCGCATCGCTCTATGGGCTCTTGAAAAGTTCCAAGAAGACCCTACGTTTTCGAGCCAAACCATAACATTAATTTATATGCGTTTTATGTCTGCTTGAAAACCACATGTCTAAAAAGAAAACACACGTATTATTTAGGGAAAAATTTCGCTATTGTGACATCAGTAAACGTCAGTCGCTAATGTCAAATTCATTATGAACAAATTGGCGCTACAGTAATGGGTAAAACTGTTCAAGGTAGCCTACTTAAATGAATGATAATACTTTTTATGCGTGAAAACTGACTTATTTTATATGAGCGAGAGATCATATTTTTTTCTAAGAGCGTGAATTTATAGTATATTTTTATATATTTAAATATAAACGAGTATACTTCAATGACTGTTCAAACTCATTGTTGGCGTCTTTAAATTTGCATAGCTTTATTGAATATTTCTTCTTTGCTTGTATTTTCGTATAGTTATAACGTTTGTTAACTGCCTGTGTATCCATAACCATAATTTTTTATAATTGTAATTGCATTAAATTGTTTTATATGCAAGTATAATGCATCTGGGCTTGTGGCCGCGCTTAATTAGTGCTTTGACAATGAACGCTTTGAGCGCTGGCTGAGCGCTTAAGGCATATTTAGGTTAGTACATTTGCTATAGTTTAAGAGTTATTGTATTTTTTTTTTATATTTTTTCAAGAAGTATGAACAAAAGTTTGTGAGAAATTAAACACTTTACAAGTGTGTTTGTTTTTGTTGTAGTACTAAGTGTATAAAGTGTACATATATACATATATTTATAAATATTGTTTTTTTCAGTTTTGCTTGTCTGTATCTATGATTTGTCTGCATTATTGTCTTTTGTGTGTTCTTCCACAAGAATCCGTAAGACTTTTTAAGGGTGTGTGTTTTAGTTTTGTTTTTGTATTTTGTATTCAATATTGAGTTTATGAAAGCTAATAGAAAAGCTATAATAACGACAGCGTTTGGCTGCTTTGTTAAACAACAACAACAAAATTTGTTTTAAATTGCGCATATAAATAGTGTTTTTTGGCAGATTCGTTACAGTGTCAGGAAATCATAATTAAAACATTAACAATTTCAAAGTAGAAATAATCTATATATATTATAACTGTTACACATACATTTACAGCATATATTATAGTTATTAGTTTTGGTTAATACAACAATTACATTACAACAACAAGTATAGTTAACATGCCTTTTATTAAAGTACGAGTATTAAATTACACAGTTAGTTTATTGGTTAGTGTTAGTTTAGCTGTCTTCGATGCGCCAAAAACATTACTGACCAACGAATCGAACAAACCATACCTGGCTGCTTAAACAAACCGGCAGCTCTTGTGGTTGTTATTGTTGTTGTAACGGTTATCTAGTTCCCGTTGGGATGATAGGGTTTAGATAAGTTGGTAATGAGGTCATCCAAGGGTAGGAACAGGAAACGTGCTGTTTCGACAGGGTCGGACCATAAGGAGAGGGGTGTGAGAGGTGTAGATTTAGGAAGGCAGGCAGAGAGCTGGTTAGTGTCGTTGCACGCGGGATTCTGGATAAGTAGGAGTTTAACCTGCTACAGTATTGAGTATACGTAACTGCGCAAGAGTTACTCTCGAGCTCGTCGAGCTCGTCGTCTGCAATAGGTGGATGTTAATCACTCTACTGTGAATGTCGGTCCGTGCATATCGTCCGAAGTCCAGTCGTCGTATTATTTTATGTCGTCGACGTACTTGAGGGACCTCTTGATGCTGCTAGCATCTGGCAGCTGTCGGCTAACGACATGAGGATATTGTTGCAATTCTGTACTTTGGTAATCATCGCGTTGGAATAAGGAGTGACCCGACGTGCAGTCATCCGACCTTGTGGCACAGCCCTGACACGTCTGCTTAGGCAATCCGCAATAGTGTTATGATTCTTTCTTACTGAAAATTATTATTTTTCCGTTCCAACAGGTAAATAGAGGCTTATATTTTGGTTTTCTTTAAATTACTAGAATTTATTTCAAGTCTTAAGTTCTAGAAATGCAAAAAGTAACAGATTTCATTTGTCCTTTGAACCATTGAAAATAGTAAAAGTGAGCTAAAATACTCAAAACAAAACTTAGCAGCACTTAGGTTAGTGGTCCGCCTACTCTCTTGCATGAATTTAACTCAAACCTTTGTTTTTGCTTCTCTATGCAATAATTTTTGACATGCGAGAGGTACTCGTAACAGGCAGCATAATGGCGAATCGAAGACAGCATATATTATGTAAGAAGTAAACAGTAAGCATTGACATACATATTGGTATGTGTGTGTGTATTTGTGTCAATTTATGTATGTATATAGAGTATTTTTGTATTAGTATACGGGCTAATAGTATATTTTCTAGTATTAATAATAATAATAATAATAATAATAATAGTAACGTTGAGAGTATAAATTTTTTTACGATTTTATATTTTTTTTCATGTAGTCAGCAGAAAACAGTTATATACCTTTAGGTATCTAATAGTAAATAGTGTCTGTGTCGTAGAATAAATCTTCTAAAAAGCTTACCGGTAAATCACGTGCGGTTTCTCCTTTACGCTATAGAGTTGAAGAAAGTGGTAGAAAGAGAGATAAAATAACAATATATATTCAGTTTGGTCTATAAGGGGCTGAGGGTAGTCAGAATTAAAAAACAGCGAGACCTTTTTTGCCTCGAAAAATATTAAATGAATACGATATATGTATGTACGATATATTAGGGGTGGTCAGAATTAAAAAAAAAAAAAATAGTTTTTGCATTTTTTAAAGTATTATCAGTATCATAGAAATATTCACCGAAGATTAGAATTAAATATGAAAAAATTAATTTGAGTTACACGTTATATTTATATTAGAAGTAGTCAGAATTTTCAAAAACAAAATTTGGGTTTTTTTAAATATTTTTCAAAACCTTCAAAAAATTTATTAAACAAATAAATTAAAACAAAAAAATCTAGTATATATGGTAATACTTAATAATAATGCAAAAAAAATGGATTAAATTTTATTTTGTAAATTTTGATCGCCCCTAATATATATCGAACAACACGATAGATATCTTTCGGATAAAATTCACATTTACGGAGCATATTTCGGGGATATAATATTTAAAACCGATCGATAATTTTTTTTCTAAATTTTTCAAATCAAAAATTAATTTTTAAATTAAAATTTTAAGATAACCATCGTATAATTCGATATACATATATTGGGGGTAGTCGGAATTTACAAAATTAAAGTTAATTTCTATTTTTCACCCAAGCTGGTACAAAAGATCTTTATAGGAGACGAAGCCAAATTTGAACTATGGGAGATTTATGAATAAAATTCTGTACGAATCTTTCCGGATAATACTAGGTTCGTATGTCAAAAGTATACAGGTAGACACGGATCTGTATTCCTCTTAGCCCCCATATATGTATGTAATATATATCTTCAAGTTGATTGTTATAATTCACAAGAGTATGAACTGTGCCGTTATTCGCGAACTTTGCCATGCCTTTTTTTGTTTTTTTTTTTTTTTTTTTTTTTTTTTTTTTTTTTTTTTTTTTTTTTTTTTTTTTTTTTTTTTTTTTTTTTTGTTAATATCTCTCAAGTCCAGTAAAAACCTTATATAATGATGTTCTGGTCTAAGAACTAAAAAGGCCTTAATATTCTCTAAAGAGTAAGATGTAATCGCTTTAACCTAAACTTTTTATTATATACGAGTATGGATTACACCTGGAGTTGGATCTAAAAGCGAATACAGTAGTAGTAAAAAAATGTGAACTCACCCTGTGCCTCTCCACGCTGTACGGATCACGTTCTCTACGATAAACAAGCTCATCGTATCTCGTACGATCCTCTGGATATATAAGTTCGCGTAGTTCCGTCACTAACGTATGCTAAATATTTGAAAAGAGGTTGCGATTAGTGAACTCGAAAAGTAGAGAGAGCATACGCTTGTAAATAATTTCAGGATTTTTAAATAAATTTACAAAAACACACACTCACTTTCTCATATGTGTCTAACATTTCTAATAAGACGGCAACAAAGGCATCTATGGTCATCGCTCTCGCAGCATATTCGGCAATATAATACGAGAGACTTGCGAATTGATGGCGTGGCAGGAGCGAGCGTGCCTTCTCCTCCACCATAGCGGTTATTTGACCTTTTCGACGAGCTCTGCAAAGTAAAATTTGAAAATTAATTTATTAAATTAATTTTTTTCTATGCTCTAAAGTTAACACCCACCTCGTCCCCGTCGGACTGTACGCGTCCCAAGGCTCCATCTCAATGGATGTACAGGAGTGTGGCACTTTACCAACATCACGTATCACAAGCGACATACGTTTATGGTATTTCAGCTGACTGACCGCCTCGTCATGGGTCACGTCGAGAAATGATTGACCATTGACCTCGAGTATCTCGTCGCCGACCATGAGGCCAGCACGATCTGCGACACTGTCCTTATCGACGCCGGTGACGAAGATGCCGAGGCCGTACTCAACGCCGCCGCGTATCATCAGACCCAGCGACTGACCCGGTTCAATGAGCAGCTCTACGCGTCGAATTCTGAGTAAGTGCGACAGTAAAAAGTTAGTAGTGACATAAATATATGTATATATGTAGTTCACGGTACAACGAACTCGCTCACCTCTCACGACGATCCGTATGCCGTCCACCATACTCCATGGGTGGCGAAGCGGGACGACCATGTCGGTCCATCCAGGAACATGTCTGACGAAATGGTAGACCACCGCCGCCAATCATCGTCGCTCCGGGCGGTAAACCGGCCGCCGATTGTGGCAGTAGTGGCGCCATCGATGCGTACATGGGATCCCGCGACGAGGGTGGACCGAAGCCATGTAGTGGCGCGTGGGAGTTGAGCGTCGGTGGTGAGCGCACCGTCATACTGATTTGACGTGATGATTTCAATATCTGCACACATCTCTGCGTTAAGAAAAAATTTGGCAATAGAAGAGACAAAAGAGAAAAGAGAAGGAGGAGCACAGACCGAATAAACGAAGGAAATAAAAGTGAAAATAAAAGCAAATCGAACACAATCAAATTATTAAGTGGAATTAAATATAACGGAAATGTAAACGAAATGAGGAGCCACACAAAAGCAAAGTTTACGGGGGAAACTATGTCAAATCAAGCGACTAAAAGTGAGCGGAAACTAAATGTTCGAAGTAAGTGAACAACTGAATACTGTAACTGTAAAATAGCTTAAGTGATGTGCCTGTGGTTTGAATATGTGCCGTGCAGTCTGTCTATTCCATCATTTGTTTGTTTGCTTGTATTCGTGTAGGTGTCTGTGTGGAAATACAACGCTGTGCAGTGCGAAGGTGCGAACGGGTAATCGGGAGGATTACGAGGTTTTCAACAAATATACCGTCTTTGATGCAATAAATTATGCATTTCCTTTTCTGTGTTATGCTTTTTTTATTTGCCTTTTATATTTTGAACCATTTACCGAAGCACTTTTGTTACTTTCGTCTGCAATGGGTGGTGGTTTGACTCACAATTCCCACAACGGATCTACGCACCGTAACTGATTCGGATTTTATCCGAATGAGGGTTCTTATTTCGTAGATCTAACCCCCTTAAGATCAGGAAGTCTTAGTACTGCGTTGGTCTGGTGGTATGGCTGAGACTTGTTCGGTTTTTACAAACCATTTGCTCTGAAGTGCTTTGGTCGCGCATTCGGCTCTGGAAACCCCATACAGTCGATTTCTGTTTACTTTCATACGCCTAAGTTCACGATCCCTCACTTGTCACGAGACACCGCCATCTTTTTTTTTTAACATTTCCCTCGACCAATCAACATGATCCTTTTTTAGCAGTTCCCACGATAGTTGGGTCCACCATACCCGAAATGACATCTGGTCACTTGGCAGAATTTTGCCGCAACAAAAGCATTTTTTGACCGACTGAGAACGGGATCCAACGTTAACAAATTTGTATTGCAATCAAATAACCTAGCAATATTGAATGTATGCTAGTCCCACTAAATACTATAGTTGTATCCATCTCACGAGAAGTCACATGATAATCACTGGTCCGTGATTAAGGAGTTACATAGGTTTACGGATTTCAAAAAATTAATTCAATTGTCTGTTTAATTTCTGCAGTTTTCAGGTTTAGTTAACTTAAGTTTTAAGTTAACATTTTACTACAGTGGTGTAAGAAGTTGTCCTGCTAACCCGAGCGCATCTGTTTACCAAGGGTGCACCGGAAATAAAAAAAAAATTATAAAATATTTAATTTTTTATACGAGAAAAAAATTTTAAAAAAAGCTGTTTTTACCCGAGGAAACCCATGTAACCCCTTTAGCTTCGCTATGAAAATTTTCCGGATTTAGTTAAATTTTTTTAGCCGAGATGAATATTTTAAGTTACTGTAAATAACAGAAAAGACGCTAGTATGCCAAAAAGTGTTGTGTTTGTATAACAACAAAAATGTCAAATTTCGCGATAAAGTTGTGAGTTGCCAGATTGCAACACCAGGGTTGCAAAATTCCGAAGTATAAAATGCAACCTGTTTTTTTTTATGATTTAAAATAAAAAAAGTTCCGTTTGGCTTTATTTTGTGTAAAAAAAAAATATAATATGTGCATATCCTGTTTTATTTTAACAATTTCTGAAAAGGAAGTAACTTTAGAGGAAGCAGCCTTAGTTTGTATGCCGCCACATGGTTAGGCGTTGAAAAGTGAGCTATTAATGGAGCAATTCAGCAAATCTTGAAAACAGGTTGCCACGTATCAATATTCTTAAAGGATATGCTTCAGTAATTCTCAAAGATAAAGTGTCTTCTTATAATTTTCTTTCATTTAATTAATTTTCTTTTTTATGCGCCTTAGGAACATTGATAATAAGTTATAAACCCTCACAAGTACTGCTGTGGAGAAAATAGTGCGTTTCTCTGTGCAAATATTGTATACTCTAGCTCCACTGATGCTGTACGAATACTAATTTGTTTGTATGTATTTTAACCGTGTGCAACAAAAATTGGTCAGTGTGTGTTAAATAACCGAAAAGTACTTAAGTCTATCAAAGTGAAACAAGTTTTCTTAAAAAAAAATAAAATCATTAAACCAAAACAAAAAGACAATACAAAAACATTGAAAAGAAAAAAAAATAATAATAATAATACTGGTAACGAAAACTTATCTATTGCCAATTTTTTCTCATTGTGTATTAAAAGTGTCAAAGGGAATTGTGTCACATGGCCAATCGTTTTGCTCAATCAAAATGCAACTCATTTCAATCAAAAAAATTGCCAAATTTTGAATTTTCGCAAGGGAAATTGTTTGGTTTTGTTATTTGAATATTTATTATTAATAACAGTACTTTAAGCAATACCATATATATAGAAATAATGTGAGCAATGAGATGTGCGTATACTTTTGTGCATGAATATAATGAAGGCGATGAGCATGATGGCAAGTGTAACAACTACTTCTACACTAATTTGCTGTACATTGGTGAGCAAAAATGTGGACACAATTTACAAAGTACGCTCTTGTAGGCTTAGCCTGTTTATTAAATAAAATTTAGACCCATATTCCGTATTAAAAAATTCGACCTCATAGCCCGACATTTTATTATATCTTCTCATATACTCTTCTGGCATGCAAGCTTATGCCTGCCAGTTGCTACAAATTGCTCTTCAATAATCAGCACATTAATGTCGCTTATCATTGGCACTTTATTGACGAAGTAGCCGCATTTTCCCATGGCCAACATTCTGCATGAAAATCGCCGCGCTGCTGTCAATTTTTTTGTTTTCAACAGTTGACCCAATTTCGGTGTGAAATCATCAGCATTTATGTATGTGTATGTAAGTTAACTCCATATTGATAAATTTGTGTGCGAAATTTCGCAGGTTTATGCATACATATTGACGCTGTATATATTTGATTCCAGCAACCCAGTAGCAAATAGCACCAAACAAACGGCTAATGCGGCTGTACCGCCAAGGTATGGTATTGGTATGTTATTAGTATGGTTAAGAGCACATAGGTAAATGAGCGACTAGCGTTTAATATCCGACTATATACATCTTTTTCCGAATATGCAGCCTAAATTTATGCTACTATTCTACCGGAGCTGAAATATGTTTCACATATAGAAAGGTTGTTTATACAAGCACTTGATTTTGATCGCTCAGTTTGTATGACAGCTATATGTTATAGTGATCTAATCTGAATAATTTCCAAGGATATTGTACCGTTACTTCAGGGAATAATATATGCTTAATTTTGTCAGGTTATCTCTTTAAAAAAAAAGTATTTCATACATGAACTTGATTTTGATCGCTCAGTTTGTATGACAGCTATACGCTAAAAAGCTCCGACCTGAACGATTTCTTCGGAGATTATACCATTGTTTTGAGTAATAATCTATACCAAATTTCGTCAGAATATCTCATTATATAAAAAAGTTTTCCATATAAAAACCTAATTTTGACGGTACACTTTGTAGTACAGCTATATGCTACAGTAGTCCAATATCGGTGGTTCCGACATAAAAGCAGTCTTTGAAGTAAAAAAGACCTTTACAGAATTTCAGCTCGATATCTGCACTCTTTCAGTGCTTATCAACCATGAGTACCACAGATTTATCATTAGCTTACCGGCAGCAACTTGTTGTTGCACTTTTCCGTATTTAAATGCAAAATTTTGCGAAATTTCGGAAAATTTGTGAACTGTGCGAAATAGTGGTGTTGCTGCAAGCATAACTTTGAATTTCCGTTCGCTGAAGGTGGAAATTAAATTTTTGGCGCAAATGTTTTTGTGTTCATATTCAAATCGTTTTTTTTTCGCATTTTCCAAATATTTGCGCGCATCTTTTTGGAGGTCAATTAATGTAAATGCGACGCCCTGCCACCCAATCAGAATTTGTGTGGAGAAATCTAAACACACTGTGGTACACACATACATACACATACAACACATGCATATACTATATAAACAACATTGAAGCGGCTGGTGGAGTGTGGTGTGTTCCTGTGATATTGTACGTGAGAATGTGCCCAACTGCCACGTCTAGTAAGGGTCTGTATATATTTATGCAAATATAAGTAAGTTTCTAATATTTTTTTTTTTTTGGGTTTGGCTTTGTGCTGCGCTACCATGACTGCAAGTGGTGCATCAAATTCACATGTTTTCGTTTTTTCAGGGTAGCTGCTGCAATTGAGATTTGTGTGGAATGAATGGCGTCTGGCACCGGTGCTTTATGATTACCTCATTCTATGCAGATTTGTGTTGTACGAGTGCACTTCGTAAATAGCTGTATTTTAATAACAAACGATTTGTTAAGGTGGAAGCATTCAATCATTTACGAAACCACTATCATGTCTATGTTAGTGTGTGTATGTATGAAATCGCTTGGCGTACATTATAAGTGAAAAGGTGCTCATACTCCGGCTAATATGAGTCGAAATGAGATACAAAGCATTTTAAGATGAGTTAGCAAATATATGCATATATTTTTTTTAATTTTTGCTAGTTTGGCAAAGCACAAGTCTTTTCGAAATCTCGCTTCAATATTTTTTCCGAAGCACTGCAGTTTTGTTCTTAAGGGTATAAAATATGTCGTTCAATAAACTGTAGCATATATGTACGAAAAGTACACAGTTAAAGCCTAAATCAATGAAATAGTACCACATGCGCCAAAAAGTATACTACAAAAATGACTTACACCTTTTAAAAATTATAGAAAACACGAAAATATTATTTATTTTGGTTACAACGAAGCTATAACACCGGTCACTACCCTTCAATCAATGAAATAGTTACGCATGCGCCTAAAAATATACTAAAAAAATTACTTGCAGCATTCAAAAATTATGGAAAATAAGAAAATATTATTAATTTTGGATGCAACGAAGCTATAATACCCTGCATAGGGGCATTTTTATAGAACAAAGTAATTTAGCTTGAATTTGATTGATCAGTTCGTATGACAGCAATATGTGACGGTGTACCGATCTGAACGATTTCTGCGCCGATTTCAGTGTTGCTTCTGACAATAGTTCGTACCGAATTTTGTGACGATATCTTGACTAAACAAGGACTTGAGTTTGATTCAGAACACTTTAGTCTCTCTACCTCTCTATGAGAATTTTCGCCGTTCAAACATAAACGAATACCAGTTAGTCTCATTGTCACCAACAATAATGTCACACACACATACAAACACAATTTGGAAACGCCAAGTAAGACAGAGCAACCGTAGTGGCAACTACAACAACAAGTATACTGTCAGCATACCGCTGACGGTTAGATATGCAACTCATAAATCGATTCAATTAAGTTTCGCAGATGAGTTGCTGGCACTGATACTAACTACGTAAGTTCATGTGTGCGTGTCTGTGCTAAACGAGTGAATAGCGGATTTGAATATAAATCGTTTTGTTAGCTGAATATATGTGTGTGCGGGTGTGTGAGGATATGTAAATGGTTGTTGGGGCATGCAAGCTGATCGACGACAATTGACATTACTGCTGATGAATACAGGGTGTCACAACTGAGGCTGCTCAACGCCGGCAACAGTAAAATCGCATAGGCTTGTGCATTTATATATTTGGGTGTGTGTGAGTATATGTGTGTTGTCATTATGGTATGCAAAGGAAATTACATTAAAAATCAATAAAGTGTACAACAACATTAAAGGCATTTAGGTTAGTATAATTTTAACGGCTTCGACAAAGCCTGCATGGCAATGAGCTACATATGTATGTATTTGTGTGGCTGTGTGTGTAGTTCGCTATGTAAAATGCACTAAATTTATGATAAATACCTTTATAAGTGTTTGCATGTGTCAGTGCTGGCACTATGCGCCTGTGATGTATGTGCATTAGTGTGGATCGTTTTTTTTTTTTTTTTGTTATAAAAACGCGTATTTGAGCACTGTTCTACGGAACACAGCGAGTTTTTGGGTGAAGTTTCAATTTTGAGTTAATAAAAATGTTTTCGTCTGTTTTTGAGTTATGAAATTTAGTAGTTTAGTTGCATTTCAACATTCTATTGAACATTTGTCGAAATCGCCCACCGTCTCGTTGGTAAAATTAATTAGAATTATCCGTACAACATTTCCGGCGTTTATGAAAGCTTTATTAAAAATATTCGACCCGCACTAATTCTCACATGCAAAAATGGATCTTTGGAAAAGTTAACCAGAATGATCCGCAGGTTTCCTACAACCAACCACCAAAATTTTATTTAAAAAAAAAAAATCGACCCGTTCTAATACTCAAACATACACATGCATTTTTGTTAAAGTTAACCAGAATGATCCGCATTTCCCGAAACCGATATTTTATAAAAAAAAATTTATATAAAAGAAAAATCGACCCACTCTAATGTTCACACGCATGAAATGATCATTAGAACAGTTTCCGCAACCGAAATTTTATAACAAAAATCGACCCGCTTAATGCTTTCACTCACACATGCATCTTTGAAAAATCGGAATGATCAATAGAACATTTCACTCAACCGAAATTTTATTTAAATAAAATCGACCTGCTCTAGCACACAGCCATGCATCTTTGGAAAAGTTAATCAGAATGATCAGTAGAATATTTTTTGAAACCAAACTTTTATAAAATTTTTTTATATAAAACTTTTTTTCAAAAAAATCGACCCAATCCAATGCTCACGCACATTTGCATCTTTAGAAAAGTCATTCAGAATGATCAGTAGAACATTTCTTGAAACCGAAATTTTATTTTAAAGAATTCGACCCGCATTAATGCTCACACAAACACACGTGCATATATTATATCTCTATGAGCACGTGTTCTACTGAATGAAGACTGCATTCTGACAATAATTTGCACACACATTTGTGCATGTATGTATGTGTGAATGTATAACAGGATATATGTGTGTGTGTGGAATTAAATTCACAAAGTAGTGTGAGGAAAACTATTGTCATTACGCTAACGAGCTGGCCATTTTCACACATGTAAAACAACTATGTATGTATATATACATATGTACAGAAGCTGTTAATGATCCGTTAATGGAATGAGCGAAATTTTTAATGGCAAATACAGTCACTTGTCTGTATGTATGTATGTGTGTATGCACCTTGGTTACGAATCTACTTTAACACAGATTGTATGCTGAGAATGGGTTAAGCCCAAGGTTGAGTGTTTGTGTGTGGGTGTATGTATATATGTACGCATGCAAGTATTTGTCAAACTATGCTTAATGATCAATCGATTGTTCAATGGCATGATTGTACGTTTGATTGATTGCCCGTTTATACGATTATATAACGCAAAGTTAGTTATTGTTGGTTATATGCTAGTTATATGCTCAATATGCGTTTGGTGATAATGTGTGCTAGCCAATAGTATCATACTCACTTTTAACGCCTCCTCGTGATTTATTGAGGTGAACGGCGTGCCATTCACCTCTAGGATTGTATCACCGGGGCGCAGGCCGGCGCGCTCAGCCACTGAATTCTCTTCGATGCGTGAGATATAGACGCCTAATCCTGCGTTGTTGCGCCCACAGTTGCCATCGTTCACATTCATTCGCATATTAATCGTGTCGTTATTAAATCGTTGAATTGCGTGTTCATTGACGTGATTAGTTGCACAATTGGTTTGGTGTTGTAATTGAAATTGTTGTTGTATGGCAGCAGTAAATGAAAGATAAGAGGGGAAGATTAATACCCAGTGCAAAGTAGGTACTTATAAAATAGGTTAGTGGTTAAGTGGTTAGTCGTATATAGAAAGAAATATTTTGAGGTCAGAAAAAAAATTATAAGAAAATGTGAGATATCGAGGAATATGAAGAACATTATTTTTAGTAAAATATTAACAAAAATTTTTGCCAAATTTCCTTGTCAAATAAAAACATTTCTATGAAAGCTTTTGACTTTGATGGGTCCATCATACAGTTTCTTAGAGGAAAAAGGCCGAGTAAGAATTTCAGATCAATATCTCGAAAACTGAACAGCATGTTCGCGTATATATGGAGATACTAAGATGAACGTGAAACGTCTAGGAAGGATGGAACATAGAAGTTCACGCAAGTGAAGAAAGAGAGCGACATTCACGTGAGAGTGGCGAAAAGGTAAAAATATTCTTTAAAAAATGGCTCAAGCAGCTCACTACTTCCGGTCCTAGACCAAATATCCTCTGGATAGCTAAAGAACATCCGTCTGAAGGCGAGCTAAATTGGGAAGGCGAATCATAAAATATCCCCAAATGGATAGAGGCTGATCGACTTCGTCGTGGCCCAAAATATACTTATTTGTAGTACTAGATAGTACTAGATACCATCATAGGAGCAAGCTATTCAAATACGGTGGCGAAGAACTGTTTGTAGAATATTTACAACGGAAAGCATGCCCGATCATTGGAATTTTAGTATGCTCTGTCCAATTCACAAAAACGGAGACCCTACAATTTTCGCAAAGTACCGTTGCATAAGCCTCCTAAACTTCGCATATAAGATTTTATTGAGCGTGCTGTGTGAAAGACTGAAGCCCACCGTCGACAAACTGATTGTGTCTTTAGACTTCCCGCCCAACAGCATCTGATGAGTCGGCATTACGAGTTTTCGAGACAAAGGTTTTGCAGAAGATTTATGGTCCTTTGCGCAATGCCAACAGTGAATAACATAGTCGTTAGAACGGTAAGCTGTACAAGATATGTATACGATGACACTGATATTGTTCAGCGAATTAAGAGACATCGGCTACGCTGGATAGATCATGTCATCCGAATGGATGAAAGGACTCCAGCTCTCAGAGTATTCGGCGCAGTATCCACCGGGAGAAGCAGATGAAGGCCTCTGCTCCGTTCGAAAGGCAAAGATTGTGTTCACAAACTAGTATATATGTATGTGTGAGCAATCACACCAGATTTGCTTTTCTTTTACGCCAGCCTTTTCAGCTAAAACAACAACAACACTCTCTTTGAGGAAATATCAAATCACCAAATCACACCAATCCTTGTTAAAAATTAACGAACATATCACCTTAATTAAAACCAGCTGCTGACAACCACATAAGCGCAGTAGAAAGTATTCTGCGGAATAAACAAGTAAGTCCAATTTATGTCGTAACACGCCCTGTCGTGCTTGCAAATAAATAAAGTGTACTATTCTGAGAAAAAAGGACTTTTCAATTACTTTTTCATTATGCGCGCGGACAACTCGTAAACACATTAACCAACTGCTAGCGGATCAGCGCAGCGCCACCAACAGGTTGAATTTGCGATTTTTATCAAATTGTAGTAATTAAAAATGTAGCAGGCAGTCGTGTGTGCAACGTGCAATCCGCAGGCGACAGCACTTGCCACACGCTGTAAACGAAAAGTGCACGCAAAAATGTAGCGGACGCTTGGTCGCTCATCTAGCTGCTATGCTTGCTCAGTGGCGGGTGGCGCATGAGAGTGACTGACTGGCCAGTTAAACGACATGTCGCCCTAAGCCTATTTCGCAGCTGAATGCGCACTTGTGACAGTTGCAAGCCGGCAGCTCGGCTCGGTTGGATGATTGGCATGTATGTGTGGCTGCGCGGGTGGTTAAGTGGGTGGCGGGGTGGCTGCGTGTGGAACTGCGTCTGTGATGCGTGCTTGCCTGCGTACGTGCGTGTTGCGTGGGTCATGCCAGCTAACTGTAACAATGTCAACCGTTTACGTGCCGCCCATTACAGCTGATATGGGTCTTAGCAGCACTGCAATTCACGCCATAAATACAATGCGCGCGGTGTGTACTTATCTACATAGCCACAACTGTGCCAGCAAATGTGCTCAAGAAGTGTATATGTATGTATGAATGGGGGAGCGCTTTACTATGACAGCGCCGTCAGCGCACGAGGCTCGTATAATAGAATTTATTGATTTAAAAATTACAACAAAGCAGTTACGTTATAAATATCACTGGCATTTAGCGTTAAGTATGGCACACTGCACAGACACAGGAACAGCCATAAATGTATGCGCACACATACAAACAATGTATACGTAATAGTTGACGTAATGTTGCATGTGTCGCTATTTATGTGTCTTACGTGCGCTGCGCTCGTCCTGCGCTATGCTTTGCGGTCGCTGCGGCGCGTTGCAATTGTGTCGCGCTGCAGCTGGCTTCTGCAGTCTTCTGCTTGTTCCGATATCACTGCAACTCTGCAGTATTTGTCTTCTTCTTTTTTTATTTTGTGTGCGCGCGCTAGTGTGGGTGTCTCAACAATAACCGAAGGACACCGAAAGTGGGTAGCAACCACAGATTCACACATACATACATAAAGAAATAAGCAAATAAAAGCAATAACTCGAATGCGGCATTGCCGGTTGCTGCCATTGACGTATGTAAGCGCGCTTGTTTTTGTTGTGTTTATTGTTTTTGTTGCTGCTGCCGCTTTTGTGGTAAATAGTTTTGTTGTTTTACCACTATTATTTTCCCCTTTCCGCCCTCTTTCATCCCACCATGCTGCGAATGCCGCAGTGTGCTCGTGTACGAAAAGGTTCGTTTTATCTGCTGGCTGCTTGACTGCCAAGCAAGGAGAAACGTTAAAGCGCAAAAGGAAAACAAAGAATGTCAAATTACATTCAAATGTGTCACATGCACAGGCACACGTTCTGACACACACACACATTCATGTATATACATACTTACATGCGAATTGAAGAATGCAACGTTTTTGAAGGGTTCTAGGAAGCGTGTTGGCGGGCCTGTGCTAGCCTGTGTAAGGCAGTGAAAAGCAATCTTTGTCGATCAAGGTCAGCGCGCAGCTGAAGGCGTTCGAAGCAGATAGAACAGCAAGTCTTTAATAGATTTTGTTAGTAAATTTGTTGATCAATATTTAAAGCTGCTTGAGCTTTTACAATGGCGAGCGGAAAGATTCTCAGCCTTTCAGCTGGGACTTCGGTAGAATAATGGCCTGTAGGAACCCGAGAGACAAGAGCTTACTGGATTGGATGAGCTTCGAAATGTTGAAGTCTTAATCTTGCACCGGCAAAATCAAGAAGGAAGTGCTGAAGTTTTTCACCTCGTCTTCCCCCACACAGCTACTGCGGCTGGCGTCCGGTAAGATTTCCAACCTTTCAGTTCGAACTCCGGTAGGACCTGAGGAAAAAGCGCTCATTGGATATCTTGCCATCAATCTTGGGCCGCAAGGATCTTGCGACAGCGCAAGAACCGATTGTAGCCAAGCGCTTCCCATGTTTCAGCGAGTCCCAGCTATCCAGAAGAAAAACCACGAGTACAGGGCAGCACCGAACCGTTCGCATTCTACTGATAGCGGGGCTACGGTACATATCATTGTCAGCTCATCAGCTTTACATTTGCTTTCAGTTCCGCTGTAACCTGATATCCTTACTAGTCATATTACAAAGGAACTCAATGCTACTGATAACAAGGTTTTAGATTCCTTAACCAGCCCTGGGTCATCCGCAAAGCTGCTCACTGCCGCTTTTCTCCAATGGCTTTCACCCGCAACTCCCGCCAGAGCGGGCGACTCCATGATCCAAAAGATCCGCTATAAAGTCAGCGAGTGTGCGAATTTCCGAATGTTTAGACAATTACAATTAGAAATGGAGTCAGATAGAAACTTTCAAAGCCATAAACCTTGCGGCGATATCAAAATGATATTAAATTCCATGGTTGGAGTTGACTTTAGAGCAACACATATGCTAATGAGCGCCGCTCGTTAGACGCTCTTGTCAGTGTGGTTTACTCTATCCGCAGTTGTTTCTCATCTGCGGCAGTTCTTCCTCCATCTCAGTTTCTTTCGACTTAATGGCGAGGTCACTTCTGGCATCACAATTAGTTACAACCCTGATGTACTCTTGCGTGAACTCATACACTGTACTCAAAAATTTTCTTTTACCCATGAGTACTACATCGTCCGCATAGCAAATAATCCCTTATTGTTTTAGTAATTTGGTGGTAATTTGGTGGTAAACTCCCGGGTCGGCTAAAAATTCGGATACATAGACCCAAATGTAGGGGAAACGCAACTACTGCTTTTCATATCTTCTTCTTTTTTAAGTATTTTCCCTAAGTAATCTAAAATACTTGGCAGCAACGGCCTTTGCTCGTTCTCAAAATTTGGACTCGAAATTCGGTCTCAGTTTCGAGATCTCACATTTCTGTTCTAATCGAGTTCAGCTACTGAGTATTTGTTGTTGTTTTACATGTGATAAGTGTAATATTTGTTACTTGAAATTACCTGAGTCTTTTCCTCCTTTAACACAAATACCAAAACCATGATCGATTTGCTGATCGCGTGACATGTTTATGGTACGTGTGGTTAATTCATGTATATTCGTTATGCTACGATCTCGATCTCGTTCACGATACATCTACAAGCAGAAGACAGAAATACAAAATCAATTCCACAAATACCAAAAATAATTTCTCGTCACTCACCTGATGCGTGGTCGAGGGCGGACTACTCGCCGGACTGCGGCGTCCAGTACGATCTCTTGTGCCGTTGCTATAGTGATAGCTGCTTGTAGGAACTGAAGAAGATTGCGTCGCACCGAACATGCGCAGCACTTGCTCCGGCGAGATGGGACGCTTTTTATTGCCATTCGCCATGCCCATACTGCTGTGAGCACGCCCACCCATCGTCGCCGTTGAGTTGGGTAGCGTGCCACCACCACCTGTGGCCGCCATATGACTGGTGGGCGATGCTGTTGATGATAGATATGACGAACCGCGTCCCGGCAATGAGCCACCCTTCGTTGGTGCACCGGCCGTATTGTAATAGTAATGGGGCGAATGTGGACGTTCCACAATTGTATATGATGTACCGGGCGGTGAGTAATAAAGACCGGAACGGCCGCCACGTAACGAACTCGTACTATTGCCAATACGCGAACCGATGCCGTACGTACCGCTGAGACCAACCGACGACGGACCGATCACACCCGGTGGTGGACTAATCATGCCAAAGGAAACGTCTTCCGCCTCGTAACTGCTTGGTGTGCGCAGCGGATGCGCACTGAGACCGGCCGAACTGCCGGTCGGTACGCTGGATGAGGATTGCGGTTGTTGTAGGCCGGTCGCGGCACTAGGATGTAAGGCGGTCGCATGTGCGGGTGGTGCATAATAGTAGCCACGCGAACTCCATCGTGAGGGTCCAAGATCGCATAATTCTGCATAATCATTGCCAGCTGCGCTCATTGTCGGGGGGTCGCCGTCGTATGGTAAGCCGCCCCCAAGGCGCATTACAAGACGCACTGCGTGAATATAAAGAAAATGTAAGTTATTAATGAGCAATTTGGAAAAAAAATGTTAGTTAAATTTATAAGGAAATCTTTATTTTTTAAACACTAACGGAGATTATAGGTAAGGTTAGCTGATCGTATGCTGTTAACGTTGTTCAAAAGTAGCAATCTCATCGATCTTTCTAGCTTCTTCTCTGCAAGAAGCTTACACTCTACTCCTTTAAAACTGCAGCGAGCACAATTACTAACAGGACGAAAGAGTTCAGACTGGATCTTAATATAACAGTCGATGGCGCTAAAATTAAGACTGTCAATAATAGTAAGATTTTAGATTTTACACTCGGCAGTCCGTGTTCCTTTACTCCTCATACAACCGCGATTAGTGCCAAGTCAAGAGTAGCAATAAAATCGTCTAGTCGATAGAGGGCAGGAAAAAGAATCTATGTGGTCGTCTGGATGTAGTTAAACCCCGATGAAGAAGCTTTAGTTGGGTTAAAATACTGTGGTCCGAAGGATTTCAGTTTGCCTCTTGATGCTTATGGTTGAACACTTACATAGTGAAGTGCGCTTGTTTCCTGTAAAGGAACATAATGAACTCATCTCCAAGCAGTTTTCGCTGGGATGTGGTCTGCTTGAAGAGAAGCCGCCTCCTGAGTACAGCAAGAAGGCTTTTCGTGATTACGTCGGTGACATCGAACAGTACGCCGACCAGAATTGGGCCGCAAAAAACTTTAGATACGCACTGACTGCTAATAACTCCTTCTTTATGAATGGCGTCCTAGGAGTTAAACCACCATACATAGGAAATCCAGGTGTCGAGTTCTCGAGAATCTAGTTTGACCCTTGCACAACTTCGTTCTGAGTACTGTAGTAGATTAAATTCATAATTATCTAGAATTGACCCGATATGAAAAATATGTGTATGTCAATATAACCACAGTAACACCTCCTACATATGGTCCGAACACGTGGAAACAGCACGTTTCCTGGGCCAACCGTTTGATAATTTCTAAGAAAATTAGTAGCTATTTGTCTGACAGAGTACTGCTCTATGGCGATAGGTCGGGTACAACAGGGCTCCGTACTAGGTCAATTATTATGGTATGTGCTGTACAGTGGTGTGTTACGATTATCGCTGTCAAAAGAAGCACTGATAATTATGATCGATACGAGTCTCATATTTAAGGCGCATATTGAAAATTCCTGTGGTAATGCGGCTAGAATGACTGCGGTCCTGTGGATTATCAGGTGAACATTGGTGGTCAAAAGTTGGAGAGATCTGCTGCTAGGGTTAGCCAGTCAATGCTTAAAGGTGAGAGAAACACAAGTCATGATGAGTGACAAAAGCAATGGGATACCTCATATAAAGGAAGTTGGACAACATCTGAGACAGACTACTATTTAACCTAGAGCTTATCAGGACATTTCAAGGAATATCAGCATAAATTTGGTCACGATGACGAAATACAATGTTCTTACTGCGTAAACGCAGATCTTACCTTTTTCTCCTGCTTGAGGTATAAGAGGAGAGAACCGCCGTAGAAAAATCAACAAACGAAAGGATGACGCCCGCCATAATGAGCCACATGCTGCGAAGAGAGCTATTGTGGTCTTAAATGAAAGAGTGGGCCGTAACAGCGCTTTAAGAACTAAGAATAAAAGAAAAGCAGCGTAAACAGCGGCGACAAGAACAATCCTGGAGGGATGGTATATAGAGGCATTTATCGCTCAACTTTGTTCTGAAGAATAGTGCTTAGCGACGGTCCTGCAGCAGCCGGAATTAAAGATTTAGCACATATGCGTACCGTGCCGTTATTGAATACTGTCAGGGTGTGATCCCGAAAGAGATGTACTTTGGTGGACAATATGAATCGTGCATGCTGCCAGTTCACTTCGGCAGTCTCTTTGGAAAAATCCTTTTCGGAAACGAAAAACAAGAAAACATTACATGCTGAGCTGTATTTAAAACACCAGACAAAGGATTTTCTTGCTTTCAGCCATGAACAAATTAGTGAGGGGCTCATAAAACCATAGCCACAGAAAGCTAACATGCTATTCAATTTATTCACTTCTAACCTACTTTATGTCACTAAGGGTCAACAATACTGGAGCGCATATGCCACCATTTGTTGCATAAATAAAACCGCAGTATTTACAAACTATTAATCCCCACGCGCACACAACTATACAATGACACATGTAAAGTATAGTAAAGTACATGCGTGGAAAAGCGCACTTCTACAGTGTTGGCAGCCTGACATTCTAACCCAGCATTTAGCGTTTCCCAGCGGACCAAGCAGAGCTTAATCAATCTGTTGGAACATTAAAAGCACTGAATAATTTCTTCGTTATAACCGAGCGCGCGAACAGTCAACCGAAGTGCAAACACGCAGCTAACTGTAAAAATAACAGAAAGCAAACAGAAATCTCGACAGAAGCGAAACGTGCAAGGAGAGCTGAAGCGCACTCGAAGGATTTATTGTCTGCGCTCGACTGAACTTTTGCTGCGACGAGATACAATTGCATGCATTTACAAGGCATGACATGCGCGCGTGTGTGTGTGCGCACGGGCTAGGTTATGTGTCGCGCGCGAGTGTGTGTATGAGCTTATATCAATATCAATGCAGTTAGTTGGCTGCTCGGCCAAATGCGTGCGTTTTGCATTTGCACTATAAGGCGCGTGGACTTGGCATGCGGAAAGCGTTTGCAGCATGTCACATACACACTGCCGCAAGCGCGAGAGCACACACATTAGCCAGCGCGCACGCATATATTCGCACAGTGTGGAGGCAATAACTAACAGTATGACATAAAACGCCGTCAGGACATGCAACACAACCGCATAGCGTGCCACATGGCGTTGAAAGCCGCAGCCGCATTAACCTGCCCTGCGCGCAGCTAACAAATGGAACATACACAAGCATTGGTGCGTTGGACGCTGGCTACAAAACTTGTAGTTACAGCGCATTTTTGTGATTTACGCGTTGCACTCGCGCGTGCGTTTAAAGCGCTTCGAATTGCCTAAGGACAAGCGCCGCTGGCGGTGACGGTGGCTACGTCGGTGTGCGCCAGACAAGTTATTACTCATACGCCCCAGTGCGCAGCCATTCTAGCGACAACGTGGCAGTTGGACACCTCGCGGTTGCCACTGCGGCGCTGTAGCGCGCCGCGCCGTCGGTGCTAAGTTGAAATAATGCAAATGTAAATACATTATGTGGTCTAATAAAATTTAAATTACCTTCGCATGTCCAGCCCAGCCCCACAGCCGTACACAGCAGCCCAATCAGGCTGTTACGCGGTGCGTTGCTGCCGCTCGTTACGGTTTAGCGCGGTAAAGTGTGAACGTGGCATTTGAAATCCGATATTTCGCAGTGAGTTGACTTAAGCGCGCCGTGAACGCTACGCCAAGTGCTGGACTTTTTGGCTTGCAAACCCACGGTACGGTGTACTTGTTGCACACACGGACTAAGAGAAATTGTCGGCCAGGCTGCCAAGTCACGCGACAAGCGAGTTAAATGCTCAATGAGCACAGCTATTTGTGATTCACAATTAAAATCCTGTTAATTAAAATAAATAAAAATTTACTTCAAAAGCAGGCAAGTACGAAACGCCAGACCGAGTTTTTACCAGGAACCACATTTTTCTCACTTTTGAAAAGCAATTCAGTATCCTCCTTTAAAATTAGAAATTAATAATGAACAAAAACGCCTCAGCAGCAAAGAGCAGTATTCAACCACAGGCAAGTATCAGACTAAAAGCATTGCCGCTCCACATTTTCGGTATTGAATTAAGAATTTATGAAAACAGAGCGCTGAGTGGAGCTGAATAGAGCTGCACAGGCAGACGCTAGCATATTGGCCATGTGTTTCGAAGTAATAAATTTCACGAGGCACGAGAAATGAGGCGGAGCACAGCTGATATGGCAGTCAACCATTTATAAAAATGATAGCAAAAGCCAAAAAAAGAAATGTATAAATATAAAATAGAGAAAAACCTAACAGCTTAAGTAAATTGCCTAGAAAAATACAAAGGCTTCGCGGCAAGTCGACTGGAAGTGAAGAGCAAAAAACTTGAAAGGGCAAAGCACGGAGTTGAGTCCCAAAAGCAGGAGGCGAAGCCAACCAATCACACACAGAAACACACAGCACCTAACATACAAAATGAGCATTTTTTAGGCAACGAAAGACGTTCCCACATACTATGCCTCATTTTATTTATTTCCGCTGTGCGTTGTGGCAACATGAAAGAATTCAGAAAAAGAGCAAAAATGTGTGACTTACATGACATACATATCGATTTCTTTTTTAATTAAATATTAATGAGGCACAAAGAGGCAAAAGATGTGACGGCAGAAAGTAGAAGCGCCAACAAAATATATTACAAGCAATGTGACAAAAAGAAAGCGACAGCTCAGAGAAACAGACATTTGCGCCTTTAAAAGCAAATGTATAGTGTGCTGGTACACGCAGGGATGCATTGAAGCACGAAGACGAGCATGCAAATAGCAGTGGTAGTAAAGATACAGCAAGCGTGTATGGCCATATAGCATGTGGACGTGCGGACGTGCGGGCGTGCAGGCGTGGCAGGCAGTCAAATTACCAGTAAAATGTTTTGAACGACTGTAGTGTAAACTCAAAAACGAAAAATGAACTCGCACGCTGAGGTCAAAATGTAGGCGCCAACTGTCTCCAAGCGAGCGGCAAGAAGGCAGGGCATTGGCTGCGGCGCGCTTCTAGGGTGTGCTCCAGCTAGTAAGATCAAGCAAGCATGCACACATACATAAACATTAGGGGTGCGTTGATTTTTACAAAAGTACCTTTAAATTTTAGGTTTTAAAAATAAAGACCTTGTATGGAAAACTTTTTGACAAGAGAGCTTTCCGAAATTTTTCAAAAGTTAGCACCTAACTTGTTGCTGTTTTCTCCAAAGGAGCTTTGCAGATCATGTTATTATAGCATATAGCTTTCATACAAATTAACAAATCAAACTGAGATCCTTGCATGG